TGTTTCCGAGTCTGCTATGCAAATTGAGGAAGAGCAAAGAGACCTCCAAAATGAAGAGCTTAAAGTCATGATCACACAGACGCAATTCTTACATTAAACACATCATCAGTTTTGGCTTTTATACATATTGAGTATCCAAAAGTCCTTTATTTTATTTTATTTATTCTGAACAACATAAATTTTCTTACAACCTTGAGAAACATTCCAGATGGTGATCAGAGAATATCTTTTCCCAGGTTCTCATGTGATCTCTTATATCTTGCAGATTCTGAAAACTGTAGTAGATTGGGACTTGTTTGTTATTAAGACACAAATTCTTGAACTTTTCGAATGAGTGTTAATTTAGTGCATGATTTGAACAAGATTTGGATGTTTTAGCAAGAACCAAATCTTTAAGAAATATAAGGTTGATAAAATTAAAATTTACAAGGATTATTAACCATGAATATTGGAATTGTTACTTTCCTTAACAGGTCAAACTATGTTTCAAGGACTTGAATCTATTTGAGTCGTAACTTGTTTTATTTGTGCGGAAATGGATGATATGAATACCTAGGTGATGATTGAGAAGTATTAAAACTTGCTTGTCTTTAGTATTTGGGATAATTATTTGATTGGTCACTGAACTTTACATAATGCTTTCAAGGGTTCGTTAAACTTTAATAGTTTCTTCATTAATCACTGAACTTTACAAAATTGATGAAATTATATTTTGTAAAGTTCGAAAACTAATGGGGAAACTTTTGAAGTTCACAGTGATAGATGAGATTACATTTTGTAAAATTTATTTACTAACAGATAAACTTTTGAAGTTTAGTAACCTCTTGAAAACCTTACTCAAAGTTCAACGACTGATAAGGTAATTTATCAATCTTTTATGTTTTTTTAGTTTTTTCATTCTTTAATTTTAGATAGGAGAGCAAACAACCTTGTTGATTACCCCCCAGAATAAAAAGTTATTGTTTTTTCTAAGTTTGATGATACTAGAGAGAATAAAATTGTGGTGTATGAGTATATATAAAAAATAAAGATTAGTTAATTACTTGATTAGTTGCTGAACTTTACATAAAGTTTTTATGAGGTCTTGAACTTCAAATAATTTCCCGTTTAGTCAATGAACTTTACTAATGCTATCACATTCATCATTCAATGATTAATGGGAAAACTTTTGAAATTTTCAGTGATGGATTGTGATTACATTTTGTAAAGTTCAGTGACTAACATGAAAACATTTGAAGTTCAATGGCCTTCTGGATACCTTTTGCAAAGTTTAGTGACCAATTAGATAATTATCCTTCAATATTTAATTATTATTATTATTATTATATGAATTATATGATTCGTATTTTTAGGATTTTGTCCACTTTTTTGTAGGAAAAAACTTGTTATTAGACTTGTATAAACTTTTGGAATTGCATGATCACCGGCAGATTTAGCATGGGGCATTGAGGGGTGTAAGCGGTCCAGTTTTTACGATTTTTGACAAATTTTCAAACCAAACCGTTTTGACCGGTTTGAGAAAAACTCAAACCTTTAACCAAACCGTTTTAAACGGTTTGAAAAAAACTCAAACCTAAACCTAACGGTTTGGTTCGATTTTAAACCGTTGGTTTCTCGTATATTTTTTTTCCTGTCTAGTATCTACTTTTATACCATTAGTTCAATATATATTTATATCTTACTAGAAATAAATCTAAAATAAACTAAATATATTTACTATAAATTTAAATACCAACAAAATAAAAGTAAAATCACAATAAACTAAAACATAGTTTTTTATTCGCTCTTTTGACGTTTTAGGATAATACTTTA